GATGTACATTTGCTAGGCATCACCTAAAACATTGATCAATAGGTCAGGGCCCTCACTTGACTCTGTCTCTTCCCACTTAAATCCAATTCCTTAGACTCCTTGCACTCAGCATCATTAAGATCCTGTTATCTGCAAGATCTGAGTATGCTTCTGATCATTCAGAAGGTCTGACATGACCTATTGGTGATAGTGGAGAATGTGTAAAAAATGCATTCCTCTTGCCTTAAAACTCTTTGCTTGTACTGTAAGATTTTATTCAATTCGTATGTCACATGTCACACGACCGATTTTATACGAAATTTTTTTGTATGTCACAGCAAAAAGTGGATTTTGGCTTCCCAAAATGGTAATTTTTTACAATTCCGGCGCCTTCGGTGCGCCAAATTGCCAAATGGGGAACATCATACGAATGATTTCGGACATCAATGTGTCACAGCCCCCCGGGCCATTCGAATTGAATAAAATCTTACAGTATTATGTATGATAATTTTCTTATACATGGCTTGTGCAAACTGTGTAATCATAATAATTCAGTTGGTAAATGTAAATATTTCATCGGCTCTACATAAATATTAAATATACTTGCAATGTTAGTTTGGAGGAAAAAGATATCCATTTGTAACTCAGCTCCTAACTATAGTTCTATCAAGCAATGTCACTGATGATTGACTAGATTAGTGTAAGTCTTCTTGTAAGGGGAACCTCGGAGGCCTGAGATCAAGGTCCTAGCAGGGGAGGATCCAAAGAGACAAAACTCTAAGGGTCCGCCTGCTAGGTAGCTGAACTATATATGAATGCTGTTACCTAGATCAGTTTTGTGATGCAGAGAATGTTAGACTTTTCAATGAGTTTTTTGACCTGGAAACACATCTTTTGACACAGATTTTATAACAGACAAATTTAATTATTTGACAATTTTTCCAAATAAGCCTGCTGCTCATCCAGTATTATCCCTTCTCCCCCCCTCACTCTGTTGTAATAAATTTGTGTACCAAGAACTTCCAAATAAGGATATTATATGAAATTCAAATATTTACATTTCAAATAGGTAAAATAGTATATACTATATGCTTAGTGTTCGGGAAACCCCCTTTCCCCACCCCAGAGTTGTCTCTGTTTCTGTGTCTGGCCTAGAGATATCTCCAGCGCTACCAACACCTCTATTGTGTACTGCCTGGGACATACTGGCATACTGCTTAGATTGATGATGACTCTTGGCACATCCAGAGCAAAGTATATATGTAGTCAGCTACCTCACTGATGACCCTTTAGAGTTTCTTCTCAGACCAAAATATTGACATGTTAAATTGAGTCAATAACTATGTACCATAAGTATTAGGAGTAAATACTAACAAAAGTCAATAAATTTGAGAGAAAGTAATAATGAGATGATTGAGTTGTCTGCTGTATCCTGGTCAAAGTCACTCAATTCAAGTTGATATCATATATATTTTACTATCAAACAATAGCTCTTGATTTAAATAATGTTTGGTCTGTATCAGCTTGTGTATATCAGCCTTTAACTAATCTCTTCTTCAGATGATACTCTATCCAGCAATCTGACTGTTGAATTGCCTGCTTTGCGTAGGTTTTCTTCAGTTGGAGCTTCTATCTCATCTATTAATTCACCTAGGTGAGCGGGATGGTGATGATATAGCCATAGGGCTTGGAGAAATCCAGTTCCATCCAGTGCAGTTTGCATATTCACAGGTAGGTTCCAACCAAATCGGAGAAGTGGAACGGTAATAAGAAATAAAAGCACTGAAGAAATTAGACCTGGGATAAGCTTTTGCTAGGTTGAGTACAAGCTATTTGGAGGTGAATTCTACTTACACCAATCAAAGTCAACTGTTGTCAAGATCAACAATAAAATATGTAAATAGTAAATACACTTACATTTAAGGCAAGCTGCTGAAATATCTCTGATACTTGTACAGTGGTGTTCTGTAGCACAATTATATCCTTTGACTGATCCAACCGGACAAGTGGCTGGACATTTCCTACTGAATGACTATTAGAAGATTAGATTCACAAAAATATGATGAACATACATGTCCAGCCTACAGCAGTGATAATCTTTGACAATACATTTTCAAGATCATGCAAATAGATTATAGGTGGATTTTTATCTGGAGGATTTGATATCCCTCCATACCCAAAGCCTAACAGCTGATTGAGAGCCCTATTTTGCTTCAAACTTAGATAGGACAGTACTTGACAATACTTACAAATCAGACTCTGTAAGGCCAGGAAAAGACAGAGATGAAGGTATATGTGTATACCAGTATTGCCACTAATCATTCTGTCAATTTCCCACTAGACTGAGCAATTTAAGAGAGACATACCAAATCAAAAACTGTAGAGTTGAATATATCACACAAGGGTATGTCCAAACATAGGGGTTTAGGTAACAGGAATGCTGCCTCAGACCACTGTGACATTGTTCTGTCCAATTTGGGAGATGGTGAAGTAATGTTATTGGGGAGTAAAGTTGGTAAATTGATCAAGACTTCATCCTGGCTTAGATGAAGTGAGCAATGCAGCATTGTGATATTAAAATTGACTGGGGGTTTTGATTGATTATATCCAACATGGATTGAGGGTGGTGCTGAACCCATTGAGTCAATAAACTGGATGTCTCTTGAATCCACATAGAAGATGACATCCCGAACTTCAAAATATGGACAGTCTGCAGTTGATACAGGAATTGGTTGTGTAGAGTAGAATGGGCCTTGTGACATGTGTTGACAGATTGGTGAGCGACCGGCTAATGGAACACATCCAGGATCAGTGTCAATCTGGGAAAATCGATGGTCAGAGACATTGACCAAGGCTGAACCATCTAGAAGGAGTGTCATTGGCCCAAATGCAGAGTTTCCAGCATGTACTGAAACACGATGAGGTGCAATATATCCACAGGAAATATTCAAGGATGTGGCATCAATAAGGCTATATCCTGATTGGGGATAGGTTGTGGGCACAGTGTAGATTGTCTGATTGTAAATCCCTGGGTTGCTGGTCCTCAAGATGTGTGAGAGGAAAAACAGAGATCCAGATGCATAAGTGGTAAGATCATCCCTAGATCCAGAATCAGATGCTTGTATATAGGGAGTATATGAAAGTCATGCTACCATGCAGAAACAGCATTGAAAGATGGCTTGTTATCATCCCCTGTGCATATATCCTTGGTAGTAGTGGATGAGAGATTGTAGGCTGCAAAATTAATTACAGGAAGACCATGTGCTGGAACATTGTACATCCGTGTCCCATTCACAAGCTTCAAAGAAAACAGTGCTGGAGTGGAGATATGGAGTATCAAAATGCCGCCCAGATATGAAAACGCAATAAGAACATTAAGGCTCCAACACTTTCTGTTTGACAAACTTTATAAACGGTTTTAACCCTTTTTATTTCCGTTTTATTTGTGGGGTTGAGCAAATGGTAAATAAAAGAAAACAAAAGGTTTAAAAGGTTACTCAATAACAATAATAATCATAATAATATGATTAGAAAATATCCAATGTATATGTATAGATATCCTGTGTTCCCTCAGGCTCTTGAATTGTCTTATTTGGTAGTTGTATGGAATCCATACATTAGACATTCATACTATCACCCAAGTTAATGACTTAGTCATCAGAAATTTCTCTGCTCTCTGAATTCAAGTAACTATTCTTAGTTTCAGTAATGATTCACCTGAACATGGGAACATCTCTGGAATAGAGATATCAATGGCATTAGTCAGCATGTCTGAATTAGTACTGATGATTGTCTACCATAAGGAATTTCATGTCTCTAGACCACAGAAATACTATCGTAGAGTAATTTATCATCCTTCAGCCATAATAATATAATAATTATATCATATTTCTGTCATTTTCTACATATAAGGAAGACAAAAATATATTGATGATTTTTAAACTGTATTAAAACTATTTAAAACATTTTAAAACGTTTGTTGAACCATTTCTGTTTGATTTGTCTCAACCCACAAACGGAAACAAAAAGGTTGGAGCCCTAAAGAACATGGGTAACTGCTGCAGGCAGGGATAACTGGTGATATAGCCGAATGAAGGCAGAGGCAATGCCAGCCCACGCCACTGATATGTCATGTGTTGCTGTCAGAGTCTGATAAGAATGGAGTGACTTTTGCGTTGCCAATTTCTGTGTGATGTACACTAAGCTCGCACAGTACACCTGATTCTAATATCAGTTTAAGCTTCCTATGAATGTGAGCTATGCATACCGTTGCAAAACCAGTTGTAATGGCTGTAATACCAGCAGAAGCTTGGGACTGAGCACCTAATGAAAAAACCACATGTCTCTCCCAGTGTTGACTCCAGATGATAAAGAGTATCAGATGAACTGCAATGAGCAGGCCATGCAAGCCGATGGAGAGCAGGCTTAATACGAAGCAGGAGTCCGAGGAGAGGGAAAGATGGTTTAGAAAGCCTGACAAAGTACCCATTAGACACCTTGAGTAGTGAGAGAGGCTGACCCACCTGGAGCACTCGTAGCACTGTTATTCTCTGAAGACAATGCTTGCCGCCTCCGTAGGAGTTGGGACCAAACCATGGTTCAATGGGAGGTGCAAGGGGCGAGAGTCTACGGCTGGGGGCTCATATACTAAGTAGTGCACATGTGTGAGTGGGACGGTGGCCCATCAGGGAAGATGCCAGTGCAGATGTGGCAGATGAACGAAGCTCCATCGCATGCAACACCCAGGTGTTGACAGTACAGCTGACACCCATCGAGTTCGGGACCCGCACTGCTGCCACTGCACACCTGAGTGTTGCATGCGCTTGAGGACCCGATCCGGATTCAAACACCCACAATGTGTCTACAGTGCGGAGTCGTTTCACACGGTCCCGAGCACGTTGAGACAGATATCCAACAAGTACACAAATACTACTAGTACACGGACAGAAGTGAGAAAAGATTAGCGAACGTATACATATTGTGATAGATAACGCAACTTGAAACCGGAAAAGCATCAACCATCAAGCATACTGTGGAGGCGGCTCCTCCACATCCATCCCGTCAGCAAACGACACACCTCTCCTCTGAACCTCGTGTGTCTGTGCACTACTTTGCCGCCGCACCGGGGCCAACACCGGGGCAGCGGCACTCTTCCGAAGCCACCCCGAGGCCGGGCGCGCAGCGTGCTGCTGCTGATAGACACAATGTGGGCAGCTAGCAGATAGAGTCGAGCTCGACCGAGAGTCCGGCACGTCGGAAGTGCCATGCGAATGCGTCCGCCCATGGGAGGCGCTGAGCCGGTCACCTGACGCATACAGGTCGTGGATCGGGCACGGGGTTGGCGGAACGACGCCTGGTCCCATCAGGGACGTGGTGTCTGGATCGTGCTCGTCCGAATACCATCGTCTGTCGGTGAACGGCCGGATGTAGGAGGGACTTTGCGGGTCTTCACTGCGACGTCCCGTGTTGCGGCGCGCTCTGCGACGAAGACAGTTGTACAAGACCCCGGTGATGGCCGCAAGGCCGACGAGTGCGCCGATGATGACGCCGACGATAACTCCGATGTGGGATGTGGGCTTTGGGGACTTGATTGCAGGAGGCGACGGACTGCCACCGGGACCTGGAGGCGAATGTCCTTCAGAGGTGAGGGGAGGAGGGGAACGCGATTTACCTTGGCTTTGCGTCGGGAAGATAAACGCTCCATTGTCTAGCGCCAAGGTGACGGTCGGCGGCGCGGGGCTCCTCGGAAAATCGATCCACGAGGCAGCATAGAGAAGGTTGACAGCGTTGGTTTGGTTAGCAAACGAGACGGCTGCCTGGGGTGCGGGCGGTGGACCGGTCCATTGCCCAGCGTATATATTCGTCGCGTTGGACGTCGCGCCAGCGGCAGGCGTTGTGGTGTTGGAGGTAGCGAGCTCAAGCAAGGCATTGTACTGCGCCAAGCGCTCAGAGCGGGGCGACGCAGGAAAAGGGGAGCTCACCTGCACCGCGAGGTAATCATGCGCATAGCCCTTCGTGCCCGCAGTCGGGGCGTCATAGACATACGCCCAGGCCAATGCGCGCGCGAGGAGGCCGTCTCCGAGTTTATCGGCTGCAATCTTGGTCAGAGTAAACTGATCCGAATGGAGGGATAGACGGACCGCCATTCGCAAGGATGCCCTGCCCCGTCTGCCAGCCTCCATATCCCAACACGGAGATGATCAGCGCATCGACTAGTTTCCCCACCCGCTCGTCCTTCCCGGTGATGGCGCTCATAACACTGAGAGCTTCGATAAGCAATCCGGCATTGTACGAGTTCAGGCTCGCATCTACGACGGCGCATGAATCTGCCGCGAGCGAGGTGAACGGGACCGAGTTCTGCGTGTCCCACAGTTGCGTGTAGATGAACGTCGCGGAGGAGACAGCCGCGGTCAGATACGTAGCATTCGAAGTGGCTTGGGCGAGCATGGCAGAGAGCAGGGAGAAGTAAGCCGTGGACCGAGCTGAAACAAGGGCAGAAGAGGCAGCGGAGCTAGCGAAAGTACCACCCGCCATCGAGACTATTACATGGGGTTTGGTGAGCGGGTATTAGAGAAGACCACAGCTGACGACGCACCATTGGAGCACGTAGCTGCCATGACCGGCGCCTTGCTCCCTAACTTCGTCGTTGCGGCTGGTATGGTAAGTGTATTCGCCCACTCCCAAGACTGGACGGCGTAAGACAAGAACGTGGCGTTGTTGAGCGTGAAATATGCGCGGGCAGCGGCGTATCCCCAGGCTCTATCGAGCCGTTAACGCTTCAGACTGACACTGGGGAGACAGAAGGGGCGTACAACGCATAATCGACACTAGCAAAAGTATTTAGCTACCTGAGTTTCGGCAGTTGAATGACATGACGCACTTTTGGTCCTGGAAGCTCGGCCGGTCCTTCACCGTGAGGCGGAAGTAGTCCGCCAGCGCCGCCTCATACGACGTCGACGGGGCCGTGCCGTTGCCGATAAAGTCGCTTTCCGCCATCTGTCCCATCACATGCGCGAACCACTCGTAGTTCTGCCCGTCGTACTTGAGATTCGGGGTGTGTAAGACCGACATTGCTTGGATGAGCGCTGCGAAGGCCTGGTGTGTGCGCGGCGTGTTTGCGTAGATGAATGACGGCTCCTAGCCTCAATGTAAAGCCGATTTCGTGAAGCTCTGAAAGCGTGGACGCACCCTCCATGACGACGCTGCAATCCCCGCGCGAACCACCGGCACCACCACCATTGAAAGGGCGACAAAAACGAAGGGCAGCATTGCGGCGCTGAGCCGGTCGGAGGGGAGGTGAAAAAGGAAGGGAAGTAATGGGCGCGGGCGGCGTGCCGAATGCTCTTATACGACATCCTACGCGGGCGCTTGCTTGTCTTGCGTGTGTTTGTTCTCGGTGGGACATGGGCGGCGAAACGAAGTGAAAATCGATGTGGCGGTGCACTATAGCGTGATAGGCGTTTTTGATTGCCGGGACTGATGTGATAGTGTCATAGTGAGCCAGGTGGCCATTTCTTCGGCTAGGTGCTGGCGATTGTACAGGAGCGTCGCTGAGGACCTCGTCCAGCAGCGTGTACTTTTGGGATTTTACACTGAATTGAAGGATCGACTCGTTCGGCCGACACCGACAATCCCCGGAAATGAAAATGACGGCGGCGACATGAGACGTGATGCGCGTGAGGTTTCATAAATGCCAAGCGCGGCCGTCCGAGGGCCCCGACACTGGTCCACCAGAGACTGAAAATACAAGTCAACTCAAGTTTGGCTAAAGGCATTCAATGCCAAAAAAGAACAAATCATGCTAACTGTCCCTCCAATCAGTGATTCATTGATACGTGGACAAGTGTACTTGTATCGTGGGTCCATTGAGCCGAAAATACTGAAAGGTTCACAGGAATCGACACCGATGTTTATTCGACCCACACATTAACAGTAGACTCTATCAAGTAGTACAGGAGGCTACTAACATTCAAATTTAATTGTCAGGCGTGGTGCATTGGACTGATCATTCCTTAGTCCATGATTCACAACAAGAGTGAGATGAACTCACAGTCCACACAGAGCTCAAGACACGGCTCGCAGCTGGTGCACGACGCCGGCCAGTACCACGTCTTGCCGCACTTGTCGTAGTGCGGCACGCAGCCGGTGGCGCGATCGAACTTGCAGTCGCAGGTCTTCGGGAAACCGCACCCTGGAAACACTGCATGTTAGCAGAACCGACGGTATACCGCTTGCTTACAGCGCTTGGTGAGCGACGACGACACGCCGCCCGGCGCAGGCTGCGGCGCGGCGTGGACAGTGGCGATGGCCGTGAGCACTATGGCAAAGAGGGCGAGGGGAGTGTTGCTGAGCTGCATGACGAGGCTGTCAGGATACTCTCTTCAAACCGCGACCGGCATTTTATACTGCACCTCTAGACCCCGGAGCACTAGTGCCAACGTCCCGTCTTGAAATGTGTGTTTCAAATGTCGCCCCAGCGCCGATTCTCGTCAACTCGGGGTACGGGATCGATACTTAGAATTGAGAGAGGCATTTAGAATGGTCGTTTGCATTGTCCGCGGTGAAATCCAGACAGCCTATTGGTGCTAAATGAGAGTTAGGATCCGAATAATAGTAACAAGAATGACAGGCGCACGAAATTCGGACTCGCTCAATGTTGACACGCCGCCGCACGGCGCTGTGGGCCGACGGCGGTTGTATTGGTTCCTGGCACATCGCGTGATATGGCTAAACAGGCTGCGGACATTCAGGAACAAGCGAGGGATGGGTGTGAGGAGCAGGTAGTCTAGGAAGCGGCAGGTTTGTTATATGAGTGGCCGGAAATCTCCAGGGAGCTGCGACCCGCCGACGAAGTACTGCCACAGTGCCGATCTAGCTTGCAATCCACCCATGGAGGGCCTTGTGGAGGGCCACCCATGACTGTCCCTAGATGAATTGCGAGGCCGAGACCGCGATGAGACGGTGAAAGTGCATAGGTACGGCGCTCGTGCAGCTTGTGACCGGGCCGAATGTGGGGCTGGGAGTCTTGTTGCCAGAAACAGATGGGAGTCGAAATGAAAAAAGACACGTCAGCGTGACAAGTGTGATGATTGGCATCGATGGATCATGATTCTTTTTGTTAATCAGATCGGCTATTGAGCGACAGGCGTCTCTTCCTTTCGCTCCACCGTCGACAGCCAACGATCCCTCCTCCCGTCCTCCAGACGATGCACCACTGCCTCGACATCGCAGAGATTCGCATTGCCATCGCCGCGAAAGTGAAGGAGGGCGACAAACGCGATCTCGTATCGCTGGCAACGAGCTGCCGCATCTTCGAGGCGCCAGCGCTCGAGACGCTGTGGGACGATCCGGGGGACTTGACCCTTCTTTATCTGCTGCGATGCTTCCCAGAGGATGCTCTGAGCTGGCCAGGGAGTAGACTGATGATGCTGTGTGTACGTGCCTTTCAATCGAAATGTGTGTGTCGAGTTGATTGTCTTCGACAGACCATCGCGCGGCCAACATTACAGACTGACTGGGAACGACCTTTGGTTTATGCTCATCGCGTGCGCCACTTCACGTACACCGCCAACACAGTGCCTGTCGAAACACTTGCTGTCCTCTTGCTCAGCCTCCCAGCCGACTCCTTGTTCCCGCATCAGGAAAATGACAAGATCTTAGAGGGGTCTTAGAGAAGATCTTATATCACCTTATTTCACTTATGAACTTATTTAAGATCTTAGAGCATCTTATACATCTTGTATGTCTTTTGTAAGATCTTATGAAAGTTCCATAAGCTCTTATGCATCTTTTCTAAGTGTCTTCTAAGATGAATTAGACTCTCTCTAAGATGAGATGCATCTTATATGTCTTTTGGAAGATCTTATAAAAGGTCCCTAAGATCTTATGTATCTTTCCTAACTTAGCTAAGTCCCTTTCTAAGATGATAGGGTAGACCTTTGAACTATGAGTGAATCCACCCCTTTTGAGTTATATATGTCAATCTTGTCTTGTCTTGAGGGTTATAGCATCAATCTCCTTGTGGTCAGAATAGAGCTGACCAAACAGGAATTTTTGTACTGGCAACTCTAGTATACTCAATGCCAGTGGGATAACTACATATATTACAGATATGATGACACAGAAATCTCATTGACTTACTAGACCAGTACTAGACACCCGATATCTGGATGAAATGTGCTAAGTCGAGCCGAGCTCTATGACACATCGAGCTGACGAAGCGGCCGGATATGCTCCGTCCCATCACATCATCGCTTCCGCAGTCACTTACATGCCGGTCTTTTTTCTTCCCTCCTCCCATCTTCCTCTGTAGACGCCAACGGTCAAGGTGCGTCTTGTCTCTTGCTGGAAGATTCATTACTGATGTCCTCTGTCTGCATTGTGGCTGAATTCATCCAGTTGGGCTCCCTTGTAGGTGCTTTTGTCCTCGATGGAGCACTTGCTGACTATCACACTTGTAGCGGTGTTTGCGCGTCCAATTCCAGCAAGCAGTCGGCAAGGGGGGCTGGGGGGTGTAGAGCGTGGAAAGGGAGGCTAAGGATAGAGGGTGAGTGCCCAAACCGGCTTATTTCTGCAGCCACTCAACTGTGTCCCCGCTCTCCCGGGATCAGTTCTTCGCCGACCGCCCCCATCTTCTCAACATCTCTCGGGACACCCCACCCCTTCCCTCATCTCGAAGGCCGAAGCGACTGAGCCCGTCGTTCGTGCCCGCCGCCCAATACAGTGCCCGGGGTGGGCCCATAATTGCTTTGGCCACCCCGGGCGCGTTTCTCAGCCGAATGACCCCAAACTCTACCGTCCGACTCGGCCTCCCGTGCGCTCTAAATACCCCCCAAACGGCGGGCGACGCCCCACGCGTTCCTGCCTGTCGCCACTTCCAATTTCCGACCTTCCTCGACTTTCCCCGCTTACCCCGTGCTCATCTCTGGGTCGTTTCGCGCGAAATCCAGGCGTTTAGCACGAATGGGGTGTCCCCCAAAGTTTCAGCCGGAACGGGCCAGCGGTTGTCCCGGGACAGCCGCTCGCCCGCCACTTCCTCGCAGGAGCTATCACGGTCCTGATGTCTCCATAGCGTGGAACGGGGTAGCAAATGAAGGGTTAGTAAGGTCTACCAAGTTGTATTGTGTTACCTCGTGTATTCAAGTACTTCTGCAATATATTTGGATTATTTCTATAGTGTTTGTGGTCTGTCAGCACAGCCTTATAACATCTTATAGGCACTTAGAGTGTCTTATGGCCACTTAGAAATTGTCTTTTATCCATCTTATTTTTGTCTTGGAACAACTTATTCATCTTATTCAACTTATATTAGAATCAGACCTAGCTAAGATAAGATGCATAAGATCTTATGGATCTTATGGATCTTATGATGTCTTATTGAAACTTTTTTGTCTTTTCTAAGTAGAATAAGTTACATTAGACCTTTTGTCATTTTCCTGATGCGAATCTCAAGTCCTTCACGCTGCGGAACTATGCAGGGATGGGAATTCTTTCCCTTGGACACATCAGGACCTTAATGGGGCCAAGAATCGAAGTACTCTCGGTCGTGCTCGACAATGCCATCCTCGTTGCTTCTGCGCTCCCGGCTATCGCCCAACGAGCCACTTATGCTTTACGATCGGTGCATCATGATGTCGACATGGGGGGGAATTCACTGCCAGTGCTTCCTGTGTCTCGCTTTATCAGCGCACTTCCGAACGCCGCCGGCGCCCTGACGAGCTTGACAATCCCAACACTAGACGATGCGTTGTTTCACTACATAGCGCAAATGCATCGGCTGAAATATCTGTTCGTTGGGAGCGTCTTCAAGATCTATGAAGGATCGGAACTGCTCACGGATCGCCGACCGGCCTCTCTGGAGTCACTGAAATCTCTATCGTGCTTCCTAAACGGCCGCCGGGCGGCACAGTGGTTGCTCCGCAATATCTCTGCCGAGACCCTGCACGTCGTACCCTCTCCTTTTGACACCCAGGCGGATTTCGACCCGCCATTCGAGGCTATAAGTCATGCGTCCCCGACACTCCTCGAGATCGGAATCGGCACAGTATACAGGACCAATAGCACCTGCCAGTGGCAGATTGCGGAGGAGCACATCAGCGCCCTGTCTGGCCGCGCCCGACTGCGCACCCTGCACCTTATCACGGACGGCAAAATCAGTCTCCCCGCGTCGATGAAGAGCCTGGGCGATTTCTCGGGCCTGCGCTCCCTCAATCTGACCTCCGGATTAGCGCTTGGTTTCACCAGCGCCACCATGCGCAGTCTGGCGGAGAGCATGCCAAACCTCGAGGACCTCACGATCGAGTCGTCCGACTGGCCGACACTGACCCTCGACGCACTGCTCCCGCTGGCCAGCCTCTCCCGCCTCGTTAGTGCGCGCCTCCAACTAGACGCGCTGGTTGTCCCCGGGCTGGACAGCGTCTCCGCCGCCGCTCATGAGCTGCCCCAGCGCGCCCTCACCCGCCTGCACCTCCGGAATTCCCTCGTCGGTGCGGACACCAAGGGCATCGCGCAGTTCCTTCTCCGTGTGTTCGAGAACTTGCGGAACGTGAACTTCAGTCAGCGGATCGTTCCGGTGGCCCGCTCGCCGGCAGACGCCCGTGCATGGAAAGCATCAAAGCAGAACCGTAAACAAGTAAAGGAATACATCGATCGGCAGGGAAACTAGGCGAGGTAGGATGCAAAGCAAACCTGTGTGATATTATGCATCTTCCTGTACTCAAATGAAGACAAATGAGTCTGGTATCTGTTACCCTGCTTTGCACGTTTCCCACCCTGAGAATTCCTATCAAAATGCAGATTCTGATACAGAAGTAAGGTTGTACAAAATCGGCATACATATCGGGGTTTCGTTCATGTAGCGTCTGATGATCATAGTCCAATCATAGAGCTAAGTGGAGTAAGAGTGTCCTAACTTAAAAAGGACGCACAACGCTATCAAGATATAGTGCTGTGGCGGGGAATCGAACCCCGAGCGGGTCGAAAGATACTGTGGCAACGACCCAGGTCACCATTTCCCCCCCTCCCCTCCCCTCCCCCACAGCGTGAGACACAATTACTTTCTGAGGTTGCAGCCGTGGTGATCATCCACCATACGCGCGCGTTGTAGAATGCTTTATTCCGAGCAAGGCACAAAGAGAAGTGCTGCTGCACAAATAAAAAAATGAGAAACTCGTTGCCAACCATCGAAATAGATTACCGCAGCCGCATCACACGGAGCCTGCGAATTCAGCCATTGGTCTTAATGGATATGGGGGTCGCCTATACGAACCTTGATTCAGAGCGCTGGCCAAGGATCCCGCTGTGCACAATGCAACATATTTTTAAAAAAAAGCCCGGCAAGGCTGAGTGGGGCTGCGTACACCACCTACAACGAGTTACGACAGTTACTTATTCCAACCAATGCAGTGTTGCTGAGTAGCTGCATTGATTGAAATCTTACTTAGGGCTCCAACCTTTTTGTTCCCTTTTGTTGGTAGAGACAAATCAAACACACAGGTGTCAGGGGAACCCCCACCTTGGCATCTGTCCATTGCATCTCAGCATCAGACACCTGTCCATCAATTACCTACGTGATGCCCAAGCGACCATCGTTCTGTCCACCGATAGGAATCAATGTAGGTAATGCATCAGGATCTGCAAGAAGATCCTCCTGGGACCTGGCATGCGACATGGCGCGGGCATATTGCATGGAGCAACAATCATTCTTGGCGCATCAAGAGCGCAGTATATAGTTGGCTGTCTGGCAGGTGGACCCTCAGAGTTTCTTCTCTTTGGATCCTCCCCTGCCAGGTCAGCCTTGTTTGTATTCGTCTACCCTTATTCACTCTTTGGATCCTCCCCTGCCAGGACCTTGACCTCAGGCCCCCAGGGTTGCCCTTACAACAGGGTTCAACAAATGTTTTAAAACATTTTAAACAGTTTTAATACAGTTTAAAAAAACCTGTCAGGGGAACCTCCCTTTTGGCCCGACGCAATCCGACTCCAGTGATCACATCACCGCCTCTCTCAGGCGCATCACCACCCCCCGCCTGGCGATCCCCCCTGGGACCTGGCCTGCGACACAGTGTGGGCATACTGCAGGGAGCAACAATCACACTTGGCGCATCAAGAGCACAGTATATAGTTCAGCTACCTAGCAGGCAGACCCTTAGAGTTTCTTCTCTTTGGATCCTCCCCTGCTAGGACCTTGATCTCAGGCCTCCGGGGTTAACTATATACTGCGCTCTTTGACGCGCCAAGGTTGATCGTTGCTCCGTGCAGTATGCCTGCGCCATGTCGCAGGCCAGGTCCCAGGGGGATCGCCAGGCGGGGGCGGCGATGCGCCTGACGGAGGCGGTGATGCGATCACCGGAGTCGGACCGGAGTCGGACCGGAATCGGGATCGTCTCCGAGGGGCCGAAAGGGAGGTTCCCCTGACATCACCCCCCTTTGAATGCGGCGTCCCCGACGCATAGACCGGAACGGAATCGAGTCGAAGGTTGCGGAGGCGATGTGCCGTGGTTTGCCAGGGTACTTACGGTAGAACTCCGCGATTTTGTCCGGGGCGAAGACGCGGTCGAAGCGGACCCACTGGTCGTGCGCGACGCGTCGTAGCCTTTCCATCTGACGAGTAATTCAGCCGTTTATACCTCACCCTTGCGTCCAAGATCTCCTCTACTTCCCACTCCGGGAC